TGAAGTCTGCCTCAGTCATCTACGGGAAACCAATGAGGCGGGTAGTAATCGCCATAAACAAAACCCTTTGCCTCATAGGAACTCGCAAGTGGGAATTTCTTGTAGAACATCACCAGACCGCCGCTCAACCAAGCGGCCCACCATCCAAACGAGCCCACGGAGACCACAGAATGGTCACAGCTCGCCAGGGTCGCGAAGTGGACCTCCGCCGGGGCCGGTTCCAGGACCACCACGTCCGGGGCCCGTAGGTTCTTGCGGCACCAGTTGAGGTTATTTCCGGCGACGACGAAGACGAGGCTCTTCCCGTGGAGCAGGGCGCGCAGCTTCTCGAACGCCTTGCTGAAGAACGACCTCGGAGCCTCGCACGTGTTGGGGTTGGAGTAGCCGTCGCGCTGTCTGACGTGGACGCCCACAAACACGAGGTCGGTCTCGTTGAGTCGTTGGCGTATCTCGTCTTTTGTCTTTTTGACGAGATCCCTGGAAATGGAGATGACGTAGTGACCAATGAGGACCAGGAATTTGTAGTATGATATATATATATATGTATATATATATATATATATATATATATATATATATATATCGATTTATATATATATATATACGAGCGTAGATTTATAAAAATTAATATATATTATGTATCTGGGTCTAGGACCCCTTTGAAAGTTAATGTTACGTATTATGTTGGAAATGGAGATGACGTAGTGACCAATGAGGACCAGGAATTTGTAGTATGATATATATATATATGTATATATATAAATCGATATATATATATATATATATATATCGATTTATATATATATATATACGAGCGTAGATTTATAAAAATTAATCCATATTATGTACCTGGGTCTAGGACCCCTTTGAAAGTTAATGTTACGTATTATGTAATGTTCAAAGCATTGCAAGAATTAACAAAAATCGTTATTTGAACATAAAATTGGCTTGTTTTAGGTCACAAAAGGTATTTAATTAGTCTTTCAATTATGTTCACAAATATAAGGATATGATTTTGGATTTAAAAAATAATAATAATTTAAAAATCTAAATTAAAAAAACTCTAAGACAAAAACTAGCAAATGGCTTAAGAAGTAAAAGGGGGGGGGGGGGGGGGGGGGAGAGAACGAAAAAAAAATGAATCAAATAATTGCATAGTTAAATCTTGGTTTCCAAAGATGTGGAATCTTATTCATTATTTTATTTTAAAATCAAGGGACGCTTGAACGAAAACAGTCTTCGTCAAAATCTGATCTTTCGGTCACGTGAGAACGCTAAGGGATGTTCATGACACATGTCGGAAAAAGGGGAGGGGGGGTGTTGGGGTGTGTTAAAGTCGTGTGAAGTAATTAAATAGTGGAGTAAAGAATGATTTACCTTTTGATACAATCGTTGAATAAAGAAACACTGGAAAAAAAAATAACACGTAAAAAAAGTCACAGAAAATAAGTCACTGAAGATAAGTCCACCATATACACCACTATCATAACACCGGTAGTAACTTATGCTAGTGAGACTAGGTCCTTTTCCAGATAAGGAAAGAATCTTCTCAATACACGGGAGAGGAAAATTTCTCAGGAAAATATATGGCCCAGTGATGGACAAGGACGTTTGGAAAATCCGTAAAAACCAAGAGCTATATTAATTCTTCAAAGACCCACCCATATTCGCAACAATTTTTTTAAAAAAAAGGCAGACTGCGCTGGACAGGACATATTGAAGGGATGCCGGATTGCAGAGCAGCAAAAGTGAAATCTAGGGGCAGACGATTCACCTGCCGACCAAGACTGAGATGGACGGACGATGTAGAAAAGGATTTTACCAGTTGGGGGTTCGCGCATGAATGCGGGAAGCCATGAATCGTTCCGAATGGAATGATGTGGTGGAGCAGGCCAGGGCCCTACATGGGCTGTCGCACCACCGATGATGATTATGAATATTAGTCCAATACATACCAGCAAAGTATCCCATTGTCCATCAATTTATTCTATAAATAAACATTTATTTGGACATACACATAAAATCATGGTTAATAAAAAGTTTTCCTATGACCTTTCTTTTTTCCCCCGTAACCCTCTTTCTTGTGACTTTTATTCCTAGCCAAACTTGTGACATTTTGTGCGTGACATTTTTCCCCGCTCACGTTCAAAATGAGACTGAACAGTATAAGAATGTCTTGGATTCTAAAGGGGAGACAGAACAGTGTAAGAATTTCTTGGATTCTTAAGGGGAGACAGAACAGTATTAGAATTTCTTGGATCCTAAAGGGGAGACAGAACAGTATAAGAATGTCTTGGATTCTAAAGGGGAGACAGAACAGTATTAGAATTTATTGGATTCTAAAGGGGAGACAGAACAGTATAAGAAAGTCTTGGATTCTAACGGGGAGACAGAACAGTATAAGAATGTCTTGGATTCTAAAGGGGAGACTGAACAGTATAAGAATGTCTTGGATTCTAAAGGGGAGACAGAACAGTATAAGAATTTCTTGGATTCTAAAGGGGAGACAGAACAGTGTAAGAATTTCTTGGATTCTTAAGGGGAGACAGAACAGTATTAGAATTTCTTGGATCCTAAAGGGGAGACAGAACAGTATAAGAATGTCTTGGATTCTAAAGGGGAGACAGAACAGTATAAGAATTTCTTGGATTCTAAAGGAGAGACAGAACAGTATAAGAATTTCTTGGATTCTAAAGGAGAGACAGAACAGTATAAGGATTTCTTGGATTCTAAAGGGGAGACAGAACAGTGTAAGAATTTCTTGGATTCTAAAGGGGAGACAGAACAGTATTAGAATTTCTTGGATCCTAAAGGGGAGACAGAACAGTATAAGAATGTCTTGGATTCTAAAGGGGAGACAGAACAGTATAAGAATTTCTTGGATTCTAAAGGGGAGACAGAACAGTATAAGAATTTCTTGGATCCTAAAGGAGAGACAGAACAGTATAAGAATTTCTTGGATTCTAAAGGGGAGACAGAACAGTATAAGAATTTCTTGGATTCTAAAGGGGAGACTGAACAGTATAAGAATGTCTTGGATTCTAAAGGGGCCGGAAAAAGCTACATCGTTATGTGGAAACACGTTAAGTCTTTCAATTCCAAAACAAAAAAGTTTTTCTTGATTTGCATCTTCTGCTGAAGAAGGCATTAAAAAAATATTTTTTTTTTAAACCTTAACATATCAGATTATAACATCTTGCCCAAATTTTTATTTAAATGATGAGAGACGATTGTGGTCTACTTTGTTTAACATTGAAACAGTCCAGCATTTCGACTGTTATGTATAGAGTCTGATTGTGGTCTACTTTGTTTAACCTTTGAACAGTCTAGCATATCGACTGTTATGTATAACGTCTGAAAAGGAGTCAAAGTCATTGGAATGTCGGAAGGCAAGTAAACCCTTCTCCGTCATGCGATTGCCATCAACCCCCACCCCCAACCCAATCCCCCCCCCCCCCCCCACACACACAGTAACCTATCATGGATCTTGCTTGAGGGCTTGAATTATTTCGTCCACTACGCCACAGGCACATTTGTCCCATTGGTTCAACTGACCTTTAACCCTGGTCGTAACGTAAACCCTCGCCTGGACTCGTGGGAGCATTATTTAGACTTTTCTCTTTCATGTAACTGCCGTTCAGCCCCCCCCCCACCCCACTCTCACATTACACACCATTACCTATCTTCCACCCTTTGGTGAATCCTTGATTATTTCGTCCAGAACGCCCCCCCCCGGCACATGCCATTGTTTGTCCAACTGACCTTAACCCTGGTCGCAACGTAAACTCCCGTCTGATCTTGCGCTGGATCTGGTCGAAATATTTCCAGCTCTGGACGTAGCCGTGTATTGTCACGTGACCTTCGGGCAGCTGCTGAAATATCGGGTCGAAGTAGCCATACTGGGTCTCCGTGACCACCGTCCACCTGAAGGAAACGACGTGGACAATGAGAGTGACATCTGGGTGGAACACATTTGGGATGAACTGGGCTCTGGGGGTGCTCGGCTCCACAAAGCGAGTCACGTGTCTTGGGAGGATGCATTGAATGAAAGTCCCACATCGAGCCCCGATAATTTTGTGTGTGTTAAAACAAGCTACTCGCGATTATGTAGCATACCTGTTGTAAATATAATTGATGTTAAAAATATACTAACAACTTGACAGTCTTTGGCCACGTTTGAAGGCAGGTTGAATATGTGTGTCGTTCAACGACCTAAGAAAAGTTGGAACTATTTTAGTTTGGTGATGAAAAAAGAAAAGGTTTAACCATCTACAAAGATTTAATTAAACAATCCCTTAAAGCAAAGATTTTCATATAAACCTTTATAAATTGTTATGTCCAGCCATGGGGGGGGGGGTGTGAAAATTTGACAGGACATGTATACAAATAACCCATTTTATAAGAATACCAATTAGTGCTAACAACCTCCCCCCCAACCCAAAACTCGCAACTGCACATTTTTTTTTGACGCCTCTGAACTATATTAATATTCTAATGACCCGCCCGCTTTTACACCACGGATTTATTTCACAACAATTTTAGAAAACGAAATATCAGAAAATATTACGCACCAAACGCAGCTGCGATAGGTTTTTAAAAAAAAGCACCTCATCTAGCGCACTTAACGGGAATTTTATTTAGTGAACTCATATTTCTTTCATCTTCCCTTTTTAAATGAAAGGGAAAAAACTTTATTTTTTTTTAGGGTTGGGGTTAAGGCCTGGGGCTGAAAGTTTGATAGAATTATAATTTGATCTCATCGGCTACGAGTCTATTTTCTAAGTTTCAGATGAATAGGTTGATGGGAATTTGGTCAATTAACCGTTTGAAGATTTTGCCAGCCAACAGCCTCGAACAGAAGTGAATTTAATATAAAAGGATTTTTTAAAAAAAAATCACATTTATTTTGAAACGGTTACCACCATATAGCCAGAAAACCCAGATAATTGATTCCTGCATTTACTTTTTTTTAAAAAGACAGTAAATAATGTTTCTTGGACTTACTTTGACTGGTCGTTATGATTTTCCACACGTGACAGCTGAAAGAGTTTGGCTAAATCCTGCTTTGGAGAATAAGGGGCAACAAACGCGCGGCGCCCCGAGGCGTGGGCAATGCCGAGCAACGAGGCGTACTTAAACAGTTTGTTGCCCAGGCGACCGTTGTCGTGGTTAATGGTGATCAGAAATGGTTCGTTTTGATCAGTGGCGGTGGTGTTGTTGGCGTCTATTGCTGTCGGCACATGTGGTGTTGTAGAGTTTTGTGTAGTTTTGTGGGGAACCTCTGTTTGAAAATTCGAGAGATTGGCATTTGTCACTGCCACTTCCTTTTTGTTTCTGTCGGTTTCAACAGGGTCCCTGACACGAAGCGCCCCGAATGTGCTGCTGAAGGCCGTGGAATTTTGGCCAGGTAAATAGCCGCTGGGGCTTGTAGAAGGGCCAGTTGGAGATATGTCAGCACTGCCTCTAGAACCGAGTTGCCGGGTATGATTGGAATCAGGTGGGGAAAAATCTATTGGTGAAATATCGACGTCCTTCGCCGATGAGAGTGGTTGGAGAAGTTCGGAATGAGGTTCCGGTGAGATCTGTGTGTTCCTCGCGGTCTCAGCTCCTTGGCGTATTGGCATATCTCCAATAAATTTATCAAGTTGGGGATCATGTGCGGAGTTTGCGGGACTATTGGCCACGTCCTGGAATGCTGAATGTTTGGAGGAATCTGTATGCTCCGCTCTAGAAACATCCTCGCTGACACTTACATCATCACTCCCAGCTGGCGGCTCCGACAACGATGACGATGGGGTCACGTTGACAGATCCGAGCAGGGGACTGATAATCACGGAGTGGGAGAGTGATTTAAGGCCAAGGATTGTCCCAGGGAGCGACGTCCAGTACACCACGGGGGTCTCGAACCGCCAGCCGTACAGACACCCTGCCAAAAACAGCGCGGATGACAACGTCAGGAAAATGAAACACTTGCGCCTATGCTGACCTCTCTTTTTGACCATCCTGGCAAGTCCTCACGAGCCGTCTGTGGCATAATCCGATTTTTCTGTAGGTGGACACATTAAAAGGGAGACGTTTAGCAGATTATACATTTCATTTCTTTAGTTTAAAAATTTGAATTCGACGACCTTGACTTACACCCGCGTCAAAAAACAACAACAACAAAAAACAACATTTTAAAAAGTATTGTTTCTTCTTCTCAAAACAGCCCACAGCAAAATTAAAGAAGCCTTACACAACCTTCTACACTACTGCAATATTTGAAAACGAACTCCTTTTTTTTTTTTTTTGTTACAATATTTATTATAAAACAGCTTGGCTAGAAGTTGACAAGACCAACCAGACGTGTGAAGGCATTTGACGGCCACCCTAGGAATATAAAAAGTTTGGTTTAATATATGCCCACCACAGGCGACCTCCTCACATTCATGTGTTCAGTGCGCGACCAGGAGCATAGATCAAGCAATCGTTGCTCGTCCGATCACGGTGTTCGACCCACACGAAGATGGATGACACTGAAACATAATAGAAGAGGGGGTGAACCCCCCCCCCCCTCCTCAACCACCTTAACCCACACGTGTACATCATGGGAGACACATAACAAAAAAAAATGGACTAGGGGAGCCCTAGCGTAAATATGTACATATTGGGGATGGATATAATCCAAGTTTTGACTAGGGGGCCCTAGCATACATGTGTACATCGTGGGGATGAATATCATCTAAATTTGGACTAGGGGGCCCTAGCATACATGTGTACATATTGGGGATGGATATAATCCAAGTTTTGACTAGGGGGCCCTAGCATACATGTGTACATCGTGGGGATGAATATCATCTAAATTTGGACTAGGGGGCCCTAGCATACATGTGTACATATTGGGGATGGATATAATCCAAGTTTTGACTAGGGGGCCCTAGCATACATGTGTACATCGTGGGGATGAATATCATCCAAATTTGGACTAGGGGGCCCTAGCGTACATGTGTACATAGTTGGGATGTTATACACTGGTGAGCACATGGGAGGTACGTGTCGAAGATTGGCCCTAGAGCACAAGTAACGTATTGTTTCTCTGGTTGGGGGGAGTTCTTCTACAGTCCGTGTCCATAGGTCTGTCCCCGACAGTACATTATTCAGACTGGGACGGAGGGTGGGGATAGCCTCTCCCAGTGATCAGACACGACCACACTCACGCTCACATGCTACTCTCTCACCCGCACGCTTTGAAAAAAAAAATTATCCCCATGGCTCAATACTCTCTGATGAGTAGATAATACCCGTGATGCAACCCGATGACATTGGTTCTCAAAACATTTATAAACAAGAAATTATAAAAGCATATTACATAGGATAAAGTTAGAGATAACAGCTGCATGGCTAATAACTATAAACGAATTCATTCATATCTAGAATGGATGATACTGCAGTTTGCATACGTTTGCACACCCGGTCTGCTAAGCGTTCACGGCTCATGTTCCTGTGCGGTCCCACGTCACACACGCGGCAATACGCTTGTCCTGCACTCGGGTCGGGATACCGATAATCTTGCGAATCCTTAGAATAAGTAACCCGGTAGTGTGACACCGTTTCATAATGCAGAGGATTTACCCCCCCCCCCCTGTCTTCCCCCAATAAGATAACTTTATAATGTGATGTTATAATATGAGATTGATTATCAACTAGAAATGTTATTTTCATAACATGACATATAAGCATAAATAATATTTAAAAAAAACCACCAGAAGCACATCACTATTTATAGAGCTAATTTGCGCTCCTTCCACATGGAATGGTTTTATTTATAGACACCTATTTCGTAAACACATCAGAACACACACGAGATAATTAACCGAGGTAATTATGTGGGCGTAAAAACTTGGACACGAAATAATAGCTCGCCTGGCTCTCTGTACAAGATATAGCTGGTCGGGCTGTCTGTACATACTACAGTAAAAGTGGACGAAGTCTGTCCGGCCCCGGCATTTGATCGGTGCCGTGGGCTAGGGACGCTTCTCCAACTGACCTTTGGTCAGTTTACTCTCTTTGTTAGTTACAGTACTAATTGTCCTTATTTTTAAGACGGGGTAGAAATGTAGAAAGAGAGAGAGAGAGAGAGAGAGAGAGAAAGAAAGAGTGTGTGTGTGTGTGAGCCAGCGGGTCTCAAGAAGTGATAACCAGCGGTTCTCAACAGATATATATCAAGACATGGTGCGGGGGGGCCTAACACAAGTTGTACCGTTGTACCACGTGGGGGATAATATCATTTAACGTCCATAAATGACGTCGGGGGGGGGGGGT